AGAGTCCATCTCCTTAGTGACCCATTTGGAGCAAGAGTGCTTTATGTTGACATCTGGGATCCTGATACCATTGACAGAAGAGAATCAAGCATGTTGGTATAACCTGGAGAAAACCTTCACCTTTATTGGAAAGCTCTCGACACTGTATCCCTGAAACTCTAATTTCTCAAATGTTAATGTTTGCCACGAAAAGTATTGTCAAATGGAGATAAGCAAATTTAAACCGATTTCTTTTGTGCTAGAGATATAGTGCAGTTCTGTAATATTTCTCAAACATAGAGGATCATTGAGTCTTTCTGTTGAGGCACAATCCTCACCTTCCAGCAAAGTATATGTTCTTTGGGATATAATTTAAGAAACACTACTGCAGAGATAATCATTTAGGCTGTTAATTCAGTAAAAATACATCAAGCTTTTACAGCTATGTTTTAGAGTTTGGAGATAGAGAGATAAAAAATAGTCCCTTCCCTCAAGAAGCTCTTGGTTTCGATGGGGTGCCATAATATAAGTGTTGGATATAGTGATAAATGCCATGATAGAAGCCGAGATTCTTGGAACCAGTCAATGTTTGAAGTAAGATTTGGAGAATGACTACAGTTAATCTGTTGAAGAGGTGGAGGAGGGCTATTTAACTTATTTTATTTTTTTCAAAAATATTTATTAATTTGAGAGAGTGTGAGTGGGAGAGAGACATGAGCAGAGGGGTGGGGCACAGAGAGAAGGAGAAGCTGACTCCCCACTGAGCAGGAAGCCTGACGTGGGGCTGGATCCCAGGACCCTGGGCTCATTACCTGAGCTGAAGGCAGAAGCTCAGACTGAGCCACCCAGGCCCCCTGAGGTGGGCTATTGTAAAGAAAAGGAGCAGCGGGTGAAAGCACAAGGGTAAGGGATGGTGGAGAGTGGGGAGGATGGGGGTTGGGAAGGGGGGGTGAGAGTACTTATATATGTGTTTAAGTTTAGGGGATCCTTTATAGGTTTTAAAATTCAGTATGGAAATATGTAATTTTATAAATTATAAATTGTTTTTACACTTTTACAGTTCGAACTCACACCATTATTACTTGCTGTAAATGAAAACAAACACCAAATGGTGGAATTGTTAATAGGAAAAAAAGCAGATGTACATGTGGTTGATAAGTCGAAAAGGTACAGTAGTTGTTTTTTTTTTTTAAACCTTATATTGTTCTAGGGTGGTAAGAATTAAGTCAGAAAGATTAACTTAATAAGAAGAGGATTAATTTATAATTATATAGTGAAAAATGTCGACATGTCATCAGTTACGCAGAAAACAATTGTTCTGATGAGGCAACATGAAGAACAGTATACGGCAGAATTTATATTCCTTCATATTATTGACTGATGTGATCTGCAGTTTTTTTTTTTCTGCCATATGATTTTATGTTAGCTAAATGGGTTTCATATTAGTTTTATTATAAAATGTGGACTCCTTTTATTTTATGAAACAATACTGAACTTCATAACCCTTTTATAGTTTTTTTGGAAACATCTACTTCGTATATATTTTCCTTAAAAGATGCATATTAAACATAAATAGGAGTTGTTTTATCTTTTGAATGATTCCTTGCTTTAAATTGCCTTTTTAAAAAATTTTTATTTATTTATTTATTTATTTTAAAGATTTTATTTATTTATTTGACAGATGGAGATTACAAGTAGGCAGAGAGGCAGGCAGAGAGAGAGGAAGGGAAGCAGACTCCCTGCCGAGCAGAGAGCCTGATGTGGGGCTCGATCCCAGGACCCTGAGATCATGACCTGAGCCGAAGGCAGAGGCTTAACCCACTGAGCCACCCAGGCGCCCCTAAATTGCCTTTTTTTTTTTTAAAGAATACTGATGTTAGATGATCCCTAAGTGATTATTAATTACTATTACCAGATAGTGTGGGCTTATCATCCTTTTTCATGTTCAGTATATATATATTTTTGTTTTGTTTTGTTTTGTTTTGTTTTGTTTTCATTGGTAAGGGTAGAAGGATGAAAGATAACTTTAATTGAATAGATTTTTCTTTTAATGAGGACAAATCATAGGTGGGTGATAAAGAGAAAAGAGATGGACTTTAGATTGATACAAGACTTGGTTTAATTCCTTTCCTACTTGCTGGGTATGTGACTCTGGAAACATGACTTAGCATCACCAGATACGTTCTCTGATATGAAAAGGAGGATAATATATCCTTCAAGGGTTGTTGTGTGTAAATAATATCTTATATATATAGTATTTAATTTAGTGCCTAACACATGCTTATCTTAGTATCATTAACTGCAACTATGACTCTTTTATTACTGTTAGTATGAATGCTGTTATTTTAAGCCTGCAAGTAGCTTTTTGTTTTTTTAATTTTTTTTATTTTTAAATATTTTATTTTTTGAGAGAGAGAGAGAGAGAGAGAGAGCATGAGCAGGGGAAGGGGTTAGAGCAGGGAGCCAGACGGGCTTAATTCTAGGACCCCAAGTTCATGACTGAGCTGAAGGCAGACGTTTAAATGACTGAGCCACCCAAGCACCCCTGCCAATAACTTTTTTTAAAAAAGATTTTATTTATTTATTTGACAGACAGAGATCACAAGTAGGCAGAGAGGCAGGCAGAGAGGGAGGGAAAGCAGGCTCCACTCTGAGCAGAGAGCCCGATGTGGGGCTTGATCCCAGGACCCTAAGATCATGACCTGAGCTGAAGGCAGAGGCTTAACCCACTGAGCCACGCAGGCACCCCTGCAAATAACTTTTTTTACAGACCTGTCCTCTAGAAGGCTTGGAAGTACACTGAATCAGCTTAAGGAAACAATGGGGAATTCTTTTTTAAAATCTTCACTTGTTCAGTTAAGTGACCTCAGCATAGTTTCTTGTTCATCAAATGACTTTAAACTAGCAACTTCTACTCTCATACCAAGGTGGGACAAGAGGCTTCTTTTTTGTCTTTTAATTTTAGCCATGGAGGTAATTTACAAAGATAAACCCTTGAACTTGTTAATGGTCAATTCTGTACTGACAGGCAAGATATTAACCTGGTAAAGTATATGAAATTTGCTGTTTAGATAACTCTAAGTTCCTAAGGGTGAAGTTGTGTCTCTGTTATTTTAGAACAGCCCTCATGCTTGCTGCAATTTCTAACTCTCCGGATGTAGTCAGGCTTCTTCTTCAGCAAGGTGTTAATACCTCTTCTCAAGATGAATGTGGATGGACGGCAGGACACTATGCTGTTTTTGGTGGATTTGATGTGTAAGTGTTTACATTAAAATGTTAGTTATTACTAAAGTGAAGTTTAAGATAATTGAACTCTTAGTTCTTTTTTTTTTTTTTTAAAGATTTTATTTGCTTATTTGACAGAGAGATCACAAGTAGATGGAGAGGCAGGCAGGGAGAGAGAGAGAGAGAGAAGCAGGCTCCTCGCTGAGCAGAGAGCCCGATGCGGGACTCGATCCCAGGACCCTGAGATCATGACCTGAGCCGAAGGCAGCAGCTTAACCCACTGAGGTACCCAGGCGCCCTGAACTCTTAGTTCTTATGTAACAGATGAGAGTTCGTAGTTTGATTCCGGCAATTTTGGGACCGCAGTGAGTTAGCCCATGTCACTTGCCAGAAACCAAGACAAAGGCTAGACTAGTCAGCATTAGAAAGGAGTGCAGGATTTTTTTTTATCTCAGGACTATTGAGACCTTTATCTTTAGGGATCCTAACTGTATCTGTTTCACTCCAAGGATAACTGTTATGCATGGGGTACAAAGAATGTTACATTTGTGTTTTTATTCCTTCCTGCCTCCCTCCCTCCCTCCCTCCCTCCCTCCCTCTCTTCCTCCTTTCCTTTCTTTGTAGATTTTATTTATAATTATTTCAGAGAGGGACAGAGTAGGGACAGAGGAAGAAGTAGATTCCTTGCTTAGCAGGGAGCCTGACGTGGGGCTCAATCCCAGGACCCCAAGGCTGTGACCTGAGCTGAATGCAGATGCTTAACCAAGTGCCAAGTGAGCCACCTGGGTGCCCCAACATCACCTTATTTTTTTTCCCCCTTAACTAGTTGCGTCCTGAGATGCTCAGTTTAGTAGAAAACCCTATCCTTTCCCTTGAGCGTTATCTCCTATTCTTTCCCCCTTGAATTTTCCAAGAACCTAAGGAGTTCCCTAAGACCAAAGAGTCCATCCTCTTTCTCAAGTCATTTGGAGGGAAAAAAGGACATTCTTATCATTCCCTTGTTTTCTTTGATTCTATTGCTGCAATATTGCTGTGTGGTGCCTTGGTGACTCAGTTGGTTAAGTGACTGTCTTTGGCTCAGGTCATGATCCTGGAGTCCCAGGATTGAGTCCCCCCAGGTGGGCTCCCTGCTCAGTGGGGAGTCTGCTTCTCCCTCTGACCCTCCCCTCTCTCATGTTCTCTCTCTCCCTCTCTCATTCTCTCTCTCAAATAAATATCTTAAAAAAAGAAAGAAAAATAAAGAATTTATTTTTTGAGAGAGAGAGAGAGCGAGAGCATGAGCAGGGGGAGGGGTTGAGTAGGGAGCCAGATGTGGGGCTCAATTCCAGGACCCCAAGATCATGACGGAGCTGAAGGCAGACACTTAAATGACTGAGCCATCCAGGCACCCCTGCAAATAACTTTTTATACAGACCTGTCCTCTAGAAGGCAATTTTTTTTTTTTTCTGCAGTCTGGTTATGATTGACCTTTGCTCCCAGGATGCCCTTGCTGATCCGCATTCCTCAGTCTTCACGGTGACCCACAATGAGACTTCAAAGTTACAACATTTTTTAGTTTACGACATATGCTTATATGCTCAGCTGCTATTCCAAGGCACCAGCACCCTTTTCTGGCTGCTGGGCCCCCTGGCTTTAGCCACACACACCCTTCCCTTCACACTCAAAAGCCTTACGTGAAGCCCATATGTTAGCGCAGACCTTCATAATGAAGTACCGCTTGAGGATTTCGCTTGTCTATCCTGCTAGCAGATGGTAGTCGGGACCCTTCTAAGCTGTCAAAGAGGTTCAAATAATGCTACGGGAAGAGCCTGGACTTTCCTTTCTCCTTTGTTACTAGGCCTGTATCTCAAGCCTGCTTTAAATCCCGCGGAGCGCCTTTCCTTATGAGGTGATGAAAGGTCTCATACTGCCCTTCCCAGAGTGGTGGGCGTCACGCTTCCCAGAGGCCATGTTTTGGGTATAATATTTCATTAACTCCTCTTAACAACGTTGTGAAATTAGGCAGTAAGATGCTGGTTTTATAGAGGAAGACTTGGAGCCAGAGAGAAGTGGCTCATCCAAGAGCTAATAGCTGTGGTTATAGAGTTAGGACCACTGAGATCAAGACACGTTCCGTTATGGCACGCTAACACTACTAGTTGCTAAATTACTACTTCATGACTAGTTCACCTTACTTTGAAGTATGTGGGGTAATTTAAATTTTGATATTAGCTCTGATATTATTCAAAATACTCTTATGAATTTGATATATTTGGTAAATGTTTCTCATATCAGTATTAAAATAGTAACATTGTTTATCACCCTTTTTATATGTAGCAATCGCCAAATAATTGCCAAACATACGGAAGAAAGACTTAAAAATTTTTCGCAAAATAACAATCCAGGTAAGACTTTTCAGAGTGAAGTACTTTTGGTGGTCACATAGATGAAGTCAGAGTAAGAAAGTTTTGATAATGAAAGAGCAGTGGGAAAAAAAAAAAAACAACCAATGTGTAAATTGTATAAGTTCACTTTCTTGCTTTCTTCCTTTCTTTCTCTTTCTCTCTCTCCCCCCGCTCTCGATTTTACTTATTTATTTGACAGAGAGAGAGAGTGAGAGAGCACAGGCTGAGGGACAGGGAGAATCAGGTTTCCCACTGAGCAGGGAGCCCAATGTGGGACTCAATCCCAGGGTCCAGGGATCTTTACCTGAGCTGAGGCAGATGCTTACCCAACTGAGCCACCCAGGGGCCCCTATTTTTTTTTTTTCTTTCTTAATATCTTTCTTTTATTTTTTTAATTTCTTTTCAGTGTAACAGAATTCATTGTGTATGCACCCCACCCAGTGCTCCAAGCAATACGTGCCCTCCCTAATACCCACCAAGAGGCTCAACCAACTTCCCACCCCCTGCCCCTTCAAAACTCTCAGGTTGTTTTTCAGAGTCCATAGTCTCTCATGGTTCATCTCCCCCTCCAGTTTCCCTCAATTCCCTTCTCCACTCCATCTCCCCATGTCTTCCATGTTATATGTTATGCTCCAGAAATAAGTGAAACCATGTGATAATTGACTCTCTCTGCTTGACTTATTTCACTCAGCATAATCTCTTCTAGTTCCATCCATGTTGCTACAAAAGTTGGGTACTCATCCTTTCTAATGGAGGCATAATACTCCATAGTGTATATGGACCACATTTTCCGTATCCATTCGTCCATTGAAGGGCATCTTGGTTCTTTCCACAGTTTGGTGACCGTGGCCATTTCTGCTATGAACATTGGGGTACAATGGCCCTTCTTTTCACTACGTCTGTATCTTTGGGGTAAATACCCAGTAGTGCAATTGCAGGGTCATAGGGAAGCTCTATTTTTAATTTCTTGAGGAATCTCCACACTGTTCTCCAAATTGGCTGCACCAACTTGCATTCCCACCAATGGTGTAACAGGGTTCCCCTTTCTCCACATCCTCTCCAACACATGTTGTTTCCTGTCTTGCTAATTTTGGCCATTCTAAGTGGTGTAAGGTGGTATCTCAATGTGGCTTTAATTTAAATCTCCCTGATGCCTAGTGATGATGAACATTTTTTCACGTGTCTGATAGCCATCTGTATGGCTTCACTGGAGAAGTGTCTGTTCATGTCTTCTGCCCATTTTTTGACATGGTTATCTGTTTTGTGTGTGCTGAGTTTGAGTAGTTCCTTATAGATCCTGGGTACTGTCATTGGCAAATATCTTCTCCCATTCTGTAGGTTGCCTCTTTGTTTTGTTGACTGTTTCCTTTGCTGTGCAGAAGCATTTGATCTTGATAAAGTCCCAAAAGTTCATTTTCACTTTTGTTTCCTTTGCCTTTGGAGACATATCTTGAAAGAAGTTGCTGTGGCCAATGTCGAAGAGGTTACTGCCGATGTTCTCCTCTATGATTCTGATGGATTCCTGTCTCATATTGAGGTCTTTTACCCACTTCGGGTTTATCTTTGTGTACGGTGTAAGAGAATGGTTGAGTTTCATTCTTCTACATATAGCTGTCCAGTTTTCCCAGCACCATTTATTGAAGAGACTGTCTTTAAGCCAGCATTAACCAGATCCCCAAACCCGGCAAAGACCCCACCAAAAAAGGATAATTTCAAACCAATATCACTGATGATTATGGATGCTAAGATTCTCAACAAGATCCTAGCAAATAGGATCCAACAGCACATTAAAAAGATTATCCACCACGACCAGGTGGGATTCATCCCTGGGTTGCAAGGATGGTTCAACATTCGCAAATCAATCAATGTGGTAGAGCAAATCAATAATAGAAGAGAGAAGAACCACATGGCTCTCTCAATTGATGCAGAAAAAGCATTTGACAAAATCCAGCATCCATTCCTGATTAAGACGCTTCAAAGTATAGGGATAGAGGGAACATTCCTCAACTTCATAAAATCTGTCTATGAAAAACCCACAGCAAATATCATCCTCAATGGGAAAAAGCTGACAGCTTTCCCATTGAGATCAGGAACATGACAAGGATGCCCACTCTCACCACTCTTGTGTAACATATTATTAGAAGTCCTAGCAACAGCAATCAGACAACAAAGAGAAATGAAAGGTATCCAAATTGGCAATGAAGAAGTCAAAATCTCTCTCTTCGCAGATGACATGATACTTTATATGGAAAACCCAAAAGACTCCACCCCCAAACTACTAGAACTCATACACCAATTCAGTAATGTGGCAGGAAACAAAGTCAATGTACAGAAATCAGTTGCTTCCTTATACACTAACAATGAAAACACAGAAAGGGAAATTAGAGAATCGATTCCATTTACTATAGCACCAAGAACCATAAGATACCTGGGAATAAACATAACCAAGAGGTAAAGGATCTGTACTCGAGAACTACAGAACACTCCTGAAAGAAATCAAAGAAGACACAAAAAGATGGAAGACCATTCCATGCTCTTGGATCGGAAAAATAAACATTGTTAAAATGTCTATACTGCCTAGAGCAATTGGAAAGCCATTCCAATAAAAATTCCACCAGTATTTTTCAAAGAGCTGGAACAAATAATCCTAAAATTTGTATGGAATCAGAAGAGACCGCAAGTTGCTAAGGAAATGTTGAAAAAGAAAAAAAAAATTGGTGGCATCACGTTACCTGATTTCAAGCTTTACTACAAAGCTGTGATCACCAAGACAGCATGGTACTGGCATAAAAACACACACATAGACCAGTGGAACAGAGTAGAGAGCCCAGATATGGACCCCCAACTCTATGGTCAAATAATCTTCGACAAAACAGGAAAAAATATACAGTGGAAAAAAGACAGTCTCTTAATATCTTTCTTAATTGTCTAGTTTTCAGAATTATTTAAGAATTTAAATACTGTCATGAACAATAGCAACAAATCCATGAGAGAGACTGGACTCCAGGAAATAAACTGAGGGTTTCGGAAGGGAGGGGGTGTGGGTATGGGGGAACTGGGTGATGAGTATTAAGGAGGGCACGTGTCATGATGAGCACTGGGTGTTATACGCAACTAATGAATCATTGAACACTACATCAGAAACTTACGATGTAGTATATGCTGGCTAACTGAACATAATTAAAAAAAAAAGTACCTCAGTGTGAACAACAACAAAAAAGGAAGTTAATTGTAGGCAATTTAAAATATGAGACATTAGTGTCTGAAAAGAAATTCATTATTTTAGTCATGACCCCTAAAATCCCTTATATCTTTGTGTAAATAAGAGAAAGATTTTTAAGTTAGTATGTTTTATACTTCCTCTATAAGCATATTAAAACAAATTGAGCTTGTTATGAAAATGGATCTTTTAATTTTTTTTTAAGATTTTATTTATTCACTTGACAGACAGAGATCACAAGTAGGCAGAGAGGCAGGCAGAGAGAGAGGAGGAAGCAGGATCCCCGCTGAGCAGAGAGCCCGATGTGGGGCTCGATCCCAGGACTCTGAGATCATGACCTGAGCCGAAGGCAGAGGCATTAACCCACTGAACCACCCAGGCGCCCCTGGATCTTTTAATTTTTACAAGTGGATTACATTTAGTAAATATTATTACATACTGATTTGTCTCATTAAAAAAGGAGCTATCCTTAAAACTGGGAACTCTACAATACCTTCCTGGTACCGTAAACAAATAGCAAAAATACGAACTGGAAAACTTAGCTAGTATGCAACAATACCAGTGAGACTATTTTTTTTCTTTAAAGGTGACTGTCTATGGTACAGAAATCAGAAAAGAAACGCCTTGAGAAGCATAGGTTGTTTTACATATTTTTGTATCCACAAGATCTCACCATTAACAACTTCATTTCTCATTAGTAAAAGAGAATGAGATATATTGACTTTATTAGAACAATGTTTTCTTCTGTTTGTTGCATAATTGTCATGGTAGTGTAATTTGTTTTTAAAGATTTTATTTATTTATTTGACAGAGAGAAATCACAAGTAGGCAGAGAGGCAGGCAGAGAGAGGAAGGGAAGCAGGCTCCCTGCTGAGCAGAGAGCCCGATGCGGGGCTCAATCCCAGGACCCCGAGATCATGACCCGAGCCGAAGGCAGAGGCTTTAACCCACTGAGCCACCTACGTGCCCCGTGATAGTGTAATTTTTTTAGAACACGATACTCTGTTGCCATTAGTAAAGAGATTATCATAATAAAAATTCAACCGTTCACAATAACAAAAATGCTACCATTGCTCCCTAGATGTGGCACCTAGTGCATTGTACAATCTGAAATGCCTGAAGAAAACTTTAATTTAGTAGACGTTTATCAAAGAAAATCTGTAGGTTGGTTTGGTTTTGCAATTTACTCATTTTCATTTGTTCACTTAGCAAATAACTATCAAGTGTCTTTTAGCTACTGTTACTCTGATGTAGAATACAAACATTCAAAAAACACAATTCTTACCCTCCAGGAGTTTGTTATTATCATTGTCATTTTTATTATTTATTCTATTTTTACTACTTTATTTTTATTATTTACTTTATTCCATGCTTCCTATGTGCCAGAGTCCCCTAGTGCTTATAATTATCATGTTATTTTTTTTTTAAAGATTTTATTTATTTATTTGACAGACAGAGATCACAAGTAGGCAGAGAAGCAGGCGGGGGTGGGGGGGGGGAAGCAGGCTCCCTGCTGAGCAGAGAGCCTGATGTGGGGCTTGATCCCAGGACGCTGGGATCATGTCCTGTGCTGAAGGCAGAGGCTTAACCCACTGAGTCACCCAGGCGCCCCTTTTGTTATGTTTTTATTTAATTACATATTTTATTTAATATGTAAGTTGATAGTGAGGAATTAGAGTTTTAGGAGAGTGGGTAGAATTTAAGGTAAGTATACAGACTGAGTAGTAAGTTTGCCAGGTAAAGAGGCAGAAGAACCATGTTTGGCAGGAGAAACATCCATCAAGATTACATGTTTTGCAGAGGGAACAGCAGTGCGGACACTCAGATGTATGAGTGAACTTTGGAGCACTTGGGAGCAGTTCAGTTTTGCTGGTACAAAAAGTGTGCTGTGGAAATGGTTGGAATGAGTGAATACTTAGCCAAGGCAGGCTAATGAGTTTTTCAGTACCTTGGAAAGGTGTAGATCTTACCCTGTAGACCTTGGGAAATTCATCAGGTCGAATGCTTTTAGCTGCAAATAATAGGTGACTTATAATAGTGACCAAAACGAGGCCACCTGGGTGGCTTAGTCAGTTACGCATTGACTCTTAGTTTTAGCTCAGGTCACAGTCTCGTGGGTCATGAGATCAAGCCCCACATCCCACTGGGCTCTGTGCTCAGCATGGAGTCTGCTTGACGATTCTCTTCCTCTGCCAATCCCCCCATTTGTGCACTATCTCTTGCACACGTTCACTCTCTCTCAAATATATAAATCTAAAAAATGCAAACCAAACAAAACAGTGACTAAAACAATAGGAACTAGAATTATTTTGATGGTTCAGTGATGTCACCAGGATCCCAGTTGTCTCTTTTTAGCTTTGAGGTTGGCAGTATTTTATATGTCCTTTCCTGATTGGCTAATTAGCAACAGTTTGAGACATAGTCTCACATGAGAATATCCAGTGACTGGAAGGACTGTTTTTCTTTATATGTTTCTTTTTTTTTTTTTTTTAAAGATTTTATTTATTTATTTGACAGAGACAGACAGAGAGGATACAGCAGGGGGAAGTGGCAGAGGGAGAAGCAGGCCTCTTGCTGAGCAGGGAGCCTGACGTCGGTCTGGATCTCAGGACCCTCGAATCATGACCTGAGCCGAAGGCTGACGCTTAACAACTGTACCACCCAGGCACCCCTATATGTTTCTTTTAAATAGAAGAAAACTCAGAGGCTTGCAGCAACTTTCCTCTAACATCTTATAAGCTAGGTTATATCACATGCTTGTTCCTAAACCAGCTGCTGGTAAATCAGGTACTGTGATTAGCTTAGAATAATCATTTCTTCTTTTGGTGCTGGGGTAAGGCCACCTTCTTCGTGTTTGGGAAAATAAATATCCAAATAAAGTTGTGGTTCTCCAGCAAGAATGAAGACTATGGCATGGTTACTGGGGAGGGAGCCAGCAGTACTTGATGCAGGGATTCACTGGAGAATGTGAAGCAGAAGGGTAATAAGATTAGATTTGAACTAGGGCCTTCTGGTGGTGGCACAAAATCGCGATCACCAAGCTTTTTCCCTAAAGGGCCAGATACCCCTGTGGTTTCTCAACTACAAGTACCATTAGAGTGTGAGAGCAGCCGTAGCAATACGTATGTGAATAGCAAGAACCAACCATCTGGTTCTGTAAATAAAGTTTTATGGGAGCACAGTCACATGTGACTGGTCCGACTTGGCCTGTGGCCATGGTTTGGTCACCCCTCATGTGGAGGATAGATTGGAAAAAACCATGTAAAGAGACTGGAAGATAAAGGACGCTTATATTTCCTTAGTCTAGTATCAGTCCATTATGAAATGTTCACTCCTCTATACTGAAAAAGTCAGGAGGCTCAATTTATTCAATTTACAATGTTGTTCTTTTTCTAGGCCTTATGTCTTTTTTAATTTAAAACTTTTTTAGTTTAAAACTTTTTAAAAGATTTTATTCATTTATTTTTAAAACTTTTTAAAAGATTTTATTTATTTGAGAGAGAGCACAAGTGGGGCAGAGGGGCAGAGGGAGAGGGAGAAGCAGACTCCCCATTGCGCAGGGAGCCTGATACGGGGCTTGATCCCAGGACCCTGAGACCATGACTTGAGGTGAAGGCAGACACTTAACTGACTGAGTCACCCAGGGGCCCCCTTTGTCATTTGTTTTGCTTAAAAATTTTTTATTCATTTAAGAAATAACAATATTAGTTGGTGGCTTTTTTTTCCTTCTGGAAGTCATCACTTAAGAGCTCATGTTTGAGTAGGGCAATGGGAGGGGAAATATAAAGCAGAGATAGAAAAGAGGTATAGTTAGTACAATTTCATGATTATTAAATGTAGAAAGGGGAGAGAGGGGGATGCCTGGGTGGCTGAGCCATTTAGTGGCTGCCTTCACAGGTCATGATCCCAGGGTTCTGGGATAAAGCCCCACATTGGGGTCCCTGCTCCATGGGAAGCCTGCTTTTCCCTCTCCCACTCCTCCTGCTTGTGTTCCCTCTCTCACTGTGTCTCTCCCTGTCAAATAAATAAAATCTTTAAAAAAAAAAAGGAGTGCTTGGGTGGCTCAGTGGGTTAACTATCTGCCTTCAGCTCAGGTCATAATCCCAGGGTCCTGGGATCGAGCCCCGCATTGGGCTCTCTGCTCAACAGGGAGCCTGCTTCCCCCTCTCTCTCTGCCTGAATCTCTGCCTACTTGTGATCTCTCCCTTTCTCTGTCAAATAAATAAATAAAATCTTAAAAAAAAAAATCTTAAAAAAAAATAGGAGAGAGGAAATCTTAGAAGAGTTATACATTTCCAGGTTGTGTACTAACATTTAAATTGGCCATGAAGAATGAGTAGGACTTTATCGGAGTGCAGTGGGAATAGGGATGACCAGGTATTTTCTATATATGTTGAATTTGATGGAATATCCATGTAGTATATTTTCAGTAATTGGATAATTGAATACTAGGAGTTTCTAGCTGGAGATAGAGCATCAAGGTTGGAGGTGCTGATTTGAAATAATCTGATTAGAATTATTAGGCAAAGTCATAGCTTGGACAAAGATTGAGTTTGTCCATGATGGAAAACATATAGAAATAGATGAAGGCCAGTGAGCAAAGCCTGGGAATACCAATATATAAGAGGTGGACGGAGGTGTAAGACTTAGTAGAGAAGACTGAGGAGTGGCTGGGGAAACACAGGAGAGGAATTAGAGGAAATGTTGTTGAAAAATGAAAAAAAAATATTTCAAGGAGTATTAATTGTATCAAATAAAATCACTAAAAAAAGTTGGATTTAACTTTTAAAAGCTCTTTGGTGGTAACCTTTTCAAAAGAACCATTTTTGAGTTGTAAGGTCTGTTATTTATGTGATTGGTACATTCTTTGTCCAAATACGGAAAAATAACACATCAAGTAAGGTCCTCCCTAACTTTTTTGTAACTGCAGTACCTACCTGGACAGGGTCAAGTCAAGTCAAGTGGAAATGGTCTAGCCTGGTGAATAGACTGGCCAACATTTTCCATAATTGTCAAAACCTAGGGGTCAAGTGTGAGGAAAAGTGTTGTCTTTCTTACCTGTTTTGTGTAGAGATACTTGAGCATTTCTTCAAGTCCCTGGTACACTCTCCTGGATGAATGCTAGAGCAAAAATCTGGAAGCAATAGGCAGGAAGCCACTTTCAGGCCCTATCTCTGATATGGAATCACGATGCAGCTGTATTTTGACAGTTTTAAATTTTGATCAGAAATACTTTATACAGACCAGCAGTTTGGGAGAAACTGACCACTTTTAAGTATTTTATTGCAGGAAACTAGTATAATATCAAGGAGAAAATATAAGGTGATATGCTGAATATAGTAGTCTCACTTACTAGGGATTCTGTGTCAGTTAAAAAAATTCAGTACTGGACTATTTTTGTTAGTGCTGTCTCTCTCAATCCTCTTTTATTTGCCTTCTGATATCTCCACTTTTACCGCTCCTTTCTTAATTTCATCTCTAAAGAAAGCGCCAAGGAAAACTGTCTTAGGATCTGTCACAATTGGAACACATTTCTACCATATGTATATTTCCTTCTAAGGTAACAGGCTACCCCATCTAAAATGTATTTCATATTTTGTTGTTTCTTATGCTAAACTTCTTTGTACCTGTACCACAGTGGCAGAGTTAGTGATGATGTTTGGCCAAGATTGAAAGCATTTTCTGGATTATCGGAAATTTTTACCTGATAACAGTTTTAATGTGACATGCTTTTATATTTTTTCAGAAATTGGTAAACTGTGGCTTAACAAGAATATGTGGCCAATTAGATTGACAAGTTTTTAACCATCTATTTATATAAGATAACTCACTTTGTTTCCCCCCAAATGAGTCCTGTTGATCTTTAACGATCAAATCCACTATTTTCAGGGTAGAGTGGATAACTCATTCTACATTTTGAATGTAGTATTTCTGATTTTTTGACCTGTTTGTCAATAACTGCCTTTAATAGGTGAACTGTTTTTAATTCTGTAAGAAATTAAGAAAAAGAGTGGAAACAAAAAATCTCTATAATCAATAGTTATTATACTATTATATATGATAGTTATATATTTTTCTATAATTATCCCAGTTACCTTATTGATTCATAACTACAATAAAAGTGAATTAAGCCCTATTTAGTTGGAGAAAATTTATGTGATCTTTTAGTTTTTTTTATTGGAAATTTTATACTGTAGAACATATTGATAATCATCAGAATTCTCTTTTTTTCCCAATTAAAATATGATTGTTGCTTGTTTCACATTATTTTCTGACACTATTTCATCTATTCCTTTTATGCCTTTATTCAAATGGATATAGAAATACAGGAATCTCCCAGGCAAATACTAAGAAAAACAGATTCAAGGAAAGGTGTTCTGTGAAATAACCTTATAACTGTAATCATGTGTTAAAACATCAACCTTAATCATAAAAATTGCATATGATGCATTTGTATTAGAGGCTCCCAAAATGACACCCAGATTTGGTTATTCACTGGAAGAATGCACACATCTCAGCATACTTGTATGCATGCCTGCGGTTTATTATGGTGAAATGATACAAAGCAAAATGAGCAGAGAAAAGGTGCATGGAGTGAAGTCTAGAGGAAGCCAAGTGCAGGCTTCTAAGAATCCTCTGCCTATGGGTGTGCTTAATTCCTCCAGCATCAAATCATGACAACTCATGTGAGATGTTGTTTGCCAATACAAGAATCTTATAGATACTCAGTGCCTGAAGTTTTCTTTAAATGATAATCATGTAGGCGTCTTCTCCCTAGCATATATCAAAATTCCAGGTTCCCAGAAGGAAATCAAGTAAAAGTACTTAATAAATCACCTGGTTTGTAACAATGGTTAGCAGTCTCAATGGATACCCCTTTTTTTTCCTTCACACTAAATAGGCCTTATTTTTTTACAGCATTTTCAAGTTCATTGCAAAATATAGCAGAAAGTACAGAGAGTTTCCATTTACCACATGTTCCTCTACACGTGTAACCTTCCTTGTTGTCAACATCCTGAACTACAGTGGTACATTGTTATATTTGTATTAACTCATCTTTATCATCCACAGTCCATAATTTACATCAGGGTTCAGTCTTGGTGTTGTACATTCTATGGGTTTTAACAAATGTGTGATGACATGTATCTATCATGTGGTATCACATAGAATAGTTTCACTGCCTTAAAATTACTCTGTGCTGTGCCTGTTGCCCTTGCCGCAACCCTTAACTCCTAACTTAAAAAGTTTTACTTTTACCAGAATGTCATATAGTTGCAATCATACAGTGG